CCAACCGGAGGCGTATAGATTACCTGGCAACCAAGAACTATTTGACCTTCCAACAGTATCCATTTATTGATCTCAGGTATCACTGTTAGCTTATACAGTTTCGCTATCCTACATACCCCAGTATTGTGACAGCTGCACTACCATTTATGCGTATCGGTAAGATCTTAGGCCGTGCAAACAGGTGGATAAAGTTAAATACAAATTTAAAACTCTATGTCAGTAATTCAGGTTTGAAAATATGAAGCAGAAGTGTGCAGTTGGACAATTCTCATGTAATACCAATTTGAAATTCAGAAAAGCATTTACTGGTGTGCATAGGCTTATTCTGTGGGAAACTTACTGACAATGGAAGGTAAGAATGATGGTCAGAAATATCTTATCAGCGTCACTATTACAATCCTTTCAAGGGAAAATTGAAAATAGACAATTATATTATTTATCAGTATTTTTCTTTCCACTAAAAAGTGGCTCAATGATGAACCTTCTAACCAAACAAGTAAGGAACAGTCAGTCTACTATTTCTGTTCGATCAATCTCAATGGATACAAAAAGAAGATAAGTAGCTTAGCACTCACCAGACAATAAAAAGTAACCTGGAATGAATAACTGAAATCTAACTAAATCAACGTAGAACCTTACACATAGGTGTATCACCGTAATATACCACACTCCACAGCAGCATACAAGGAACAAATGGATAGAATAAGAGTGATATTAAAGTAGATAAAGTAGTGTAAGAGAATAAACAATCTAAAGATAACGGTTAGAGCAAATATTCAAGCTTTGGAAGATGTCAAGCAACTAACACATCTAAGCCATTGCCACCGATGTTTAGCCATGTCACTGATTCCTTTCTTCCCGTGGACCCCAACCAGACAGTCGACATTGCCCACTTGGCTCAGACTAACAGTTATAAACTTTACCGACTGGTGTCGCATCTTAGTTTGGCAACCCTGGAATCTTTTCAGGCCCAATCCAAAGTCTCCTAGCATGGAACATCGAGGTAAGTATCGACTTGACATGCTCAGTAGATGTCCAAACCGTCTCAGTCACTAAAGGTTCACAGTTCCATAAATCGACTTGCATTTCTTGCCTAGTACCCTTCGCCTGAACTCAGTATTTCTCACACAGGGATCCCATCTAAAGTGGCAGGAAAAGTAGTTGTGAGAAGAGTTAAATGAATTCATACACCTAAGGAGTAAGGTTACCATACTGAAAGGCGAAGCATATTGGCCTAATGATTATGATAACGTAAGAATAATGCCTCTGAAAATAAAAAGCATTTTAAGTTTCATAAGAACAGACAAGATTAAATGTCACAGTCTTCAATACTAACATCACTTTAGCTTCACATTTGAGTTTGATGACCAGAGAACAACTGTACAAACATCAACATATCACATTCCTCTGTCAGTTAGTATCTATGAAAGACCCAATAGATAAGCTAAATCAGAAAGTTTGGAGTAAATCATTGCCATCTTTAATGTTATCCTCACACAGATAACCAAACATATACATGAGGATACTGAGACCACCAAAAAGCCATACAAGTTGTACTTAACAACCACCTTAAAAGTCATACACCAGCATCAAATCCTAAACCTTGATGTGGTACCGCAATGTAAAGTTGACGACATACACAGTGACAAAAGATGCATGACATTCACATTGGTGCCAATGAGGAAGGAAAGAACGTACAAAGAGTAAATACCGAATACTTGTCACATCCCTATATTCTAACCAGGATTGGAAGCTTTAAATAAGTAATCAACCCGTTTTCTGAATATTTTTCTAATGATCACTGAATAAGAAATGTCAAATGCAATATTATTATTATACTACTATGATAATATTTAAATAGCGTGAAAATTATGTTACAATATTTTCGGATTCTCTGAAAAATTTCTGTCATGCTAAAATGCTAATATAATTTTGAAGTCACAAAAAATATTCTAATGTCAATTTGCCGATGATTTGTCGAATCAGGATAACCTCCAAAGTATCTCTCATCTAGATGAAATCCCTGTCTAGCATACGTTTGAAACCACTCAGAAATAATAAGAATTTCGTTCTTCCAATGGCTATTTAATATATCAACACAATAACACTTCTTAATACTTCAGATAAACTGTTCAATATTAACGATAAAAAATAAACCAGAAAGCGAGTAAAATTCAACTTTTGTGGTTATAAAACTCCAGTGTAAATATAAGAGTAAAACCTGGGCACTGTGGTCGATTGTAATTCTATTTCATTCTGTTTATTAGAAATATCATACGGTGAAATAGTAGCATTTACTGGATAACGTTCCAGACACAATTTATTATCCTTATTCATATCAGGTAACTCCACAACTTCGAGATAGTCTTTATATATTCCTAGTTTTCTCTCCTTCTCTGTGATGACAAGGATAGTAGAATTTTCCATATATCTGGGACAGGTGCACAATCATTTCGATTGCATGTATTTGGTGTTGATTCGATAAACAAAGATTCGGTAATTAATCTCTTTCTCCCTCCACCCAACTAAATTAGTTCTCAACACTGTGGCATGCAGAACTACAACCAAGCTTTTCTCTAGATTTCTTATCTTATTAGGATCTACTAGTCTTGATTTAGCTAAGTTTTTGTGGTCTGTTATTCTAATCGACTCTCTTCGACTGCTTTGCCTATGTACTTCACCTCGCAATCATTGCAAGGGATCCGGTAAACCAGATTATTTTGTTCAGTTGCATCGATTGGATCTTTTAACCTACAAAGCGAGTTTGTTGGTTGAAATGCCTTATTGAGAATTCTTCGTAAGGCTTCTGAGGTGCCTTCTTTATATGTTAACACAGCAGAGGCTTTGAATTCTCTCTTAACCTTGTCTCCACTATTACCATTAGTAGTGGAATTATTACTACTACCACTGTTAGTACTTTTCTTTCGTTTTCTTATGAATTTACTTATAAGTTTTGGTGGGTAATTATTGAGACGTAGAGTATTCTTGATGTGTCTAATTTCTTGTCACAGATTTTCCGATCTACTGGTAAGCTTTTTCGCTCTATCACTTAAGCAATTAACGAGGCCTACTTTAACTGAAATGGGATAGGAAGATTCGAAGTCCAAATAGCGATTTGAATGGGTGGGTTTCCTATAGACACTAGTCTCTAGATTTCCTTCTTGTGTTCGTTTAATCCTGCAATCCAACATTGCTAGCTCACCTTCACTTCCTAAGTCACAGGTAAATTGGATTGCATTTACTACTGAATTTATATGTGCCAAGAACCCATTGATGTGTTCCTATGTCAGTACTGTAAACGTATCATCTATATATCGGGACCATATCTTTGGAGTAGGACTAAATATTTGAAGGGTCATCTGTTCCCAACTATCCACAAATATGTCTACAACGATAGGGGATACTGATGATCCCATGGCAACACCTTCAGTTTGTTTATATATTTTACTTTGAAACTTAAAAACTATAGATGTTAGGCACAATCGTACTTCTATTATGATTTCCTGGATTCATCATCCCAATGAACAATACTGTGATGCAACCTGTATGCTCATACAAACTTCAAATCTTCAGAAAAAGTAGGTTTTTAACATGGCCATTAGTAGTGAAAGGCTTACTTTCAAGACAATGAAGTCACCAAAGAAAATATGATCAAACGGTTGGGCTTTTCTTGAAGTGAAAAGAATGTACGAATTAGTGTTTTTACCTCTGAATCTTATATCACACAAATAATGACGAATTTTCAATGTTTCAGAGGGGGAATAACTGCTTTGAAGAGTGAAATTTAGAGGAAACTGCTCATGTTAAGCCTTTATCACTACAAAAAGATATAATTATTACGAATGAATAGATAAGCTACCTATTGCAAGGGAGTCAGACCCCTCTATGGTCTTCAAATGACACGATGATATCAGGAGGAATCAGGTCAAATATTGCTCACTTTTCATATTACCTCCAGGGGCTTGAACATGTGCTTTGCAAGCCGAACTACCACCGGCCTTGGCGTAAAATGCTTCCAGACGTTGGATTAGGTTAGAAGAAGGTTCAAACCAGCCAAACCAAGGAGTGGTTCCATTAGATTAAGTCCCTGACTCTTGGTCTGAGACTTGCAGGGAGATGTAGGCTACCTAGCTGGAGTCCTCGAGACAATAAGAAGCAGGGGTTGAGGACTCTTGATAAGATGGCTAAAAATCAGTCACAATGGTACAGATGCATTCATTCTTTGATGTCTTCTAAGGCTTAAATGCTTTAACTAACCTAAATTTTTAAATTTCCTCTCATCTAATACACCTTCTTCGACTTTGATATTAGTCATTCCTATTCACTTGTACTTTGTTTACTACTTTGAAGTGTGGCTATTTGAACGGAGGAGCTTGAGTACCAAGTCCTACTTTGATTTTTTTCTGCTAGACATTCCAGGTAAAATTCTGAGTGTCTCGCATGCATACCAAATGTTAGATGAAAATTCAAGATTGACCTAAATTTGTGCTGGCCGTGTCATGCACCTAGCCAGTTTCATCCACTCTAGTAAACTGGTGACCGAGAATGTTAACAGACAACTTGTAATGCATGAAACGCTACGATTACATCAATTGTGTGTGTATAACGCATCGCTGGTGTATGTTCGGCTATGTATTCATGAGAAGTAACCAACTGACACTATAGAAATAAAACGAATATCTTTTAATCACCAAGTGATTGTAATGGAACCGTCAAAGGTGGACTGTTTTTTTGTTCAGAATATTCCATTGTCGGCTCTCACAACTTTCATCGTCAACGCCACACTTTATACTACTCAAACGCATTCTTGTCAGTAGTATGCATCATACTTATAATTCTGGTTATGCTTCAGCAGAGGACTGTACAAAACTGCTAGTCCCATTTTAACTGAGTATACTGTTTTTTGATAACTCCGTAGCAAAACATTTCATCTTCATTACTTGGAGGTGAATAAACATTAAAATTTGTATAGTCTTTTTTAAAATTCTTAAATCTTTCAGATTGACAAGCATGTACAAGCAGACATTCACCTGGAGTTCAATTAAGTCCTAACTGACCACATTTCATTCAACTTTCATCAGAATCTTCAATTAAACGTATATCACTAAAACGTATCTATTGTTTATGCACTATGGTAACACGAACCTGCTATCAGACTACTATTAATACTACTAATAATCCTGTCACCTATAATACCCATCAGCAACCTGTTTCATATTTCACACCGAAAGCGGGTCACTTTGGAAAACAATGGAAAAGTTATCAAAATTTAGATGAACCTCGATTACTGAATCGTCATGTATCAGATCAATACATAGCAGCGGCACTTTTCAGTGGTTCTTGTAAAAACCTCTCCAAGAAAGGATACAATATTACCATTAAAATCGACAACAGTAAAAGTGACCATAATAATCATAATAACAATAATAATCACAGTAGTAGTAACTATAGTATCAATAGTGTAAATAACGGTAGTCAACATCCCTATTTCAACAGGCATATTATGTCAAATGTATGTGGTAACCTACAAAATCGAAATTTAGAATTTAAGGAAAATTCCTCTGCACCAAGGGTGCATGGAAAGTTACGTGCTGCTTCTCTCCCACCTTTATTATCATTGATGACAGGAAATTATTCAACCCCACAAAAATCAATTATTGCCAATACTGGTAATGCTTCACCGTCATTGGTTAATCCAGTGTGTCATTCCTTTTTTCCCCCTTCTAAATGCAAACATGATGGTGCAGACTGGGAGGACTGTCGTATTAGTATAGACTGTTTTGGTATTAAAACAACTAACTGTAAATATGTTCGGCACCTACACAAAAATTTCAACTATCATTTTACACCACAGTCGAACCTATCAACAGTGAATGAAAACAGATGGGAAGGGTTGAATTCAAGATATTATTTGCCTTTACCAGTAAGAATACCTTCCATTCATTTGGAAGGTAAAAAGTTTGACCACTGCCAGTCAATAAGATCGCACAGTTTATGCGCTAGATCTGTTCGTCTCTCGATCATACCATTAAATCCAATCTACAAAAGAAGGTCATCATCAGTGAAACGAAGACAGTGTGGAAACAATCTTCACCCAACAAGCACAAATACAGATTGGATTAATTCAGTTGACTTACACCATTGTCGAACAGTTCTTCGTAATTGTTGGCGTAAAAATATAATTCAAAGAATGGTATGTTAACGACTTAATTCTATACTTAAAACTATGCTGTATTACATATACATTTAGATTAAAAGTGCTGTCATTTTCCATGTCTATCTCTGATTTTAACGACTTGTTTATCACTTGTCATTCATAATTCTACACATCATTTCGAATATCTGAGATATCCGAAGTTTGGCAAACTAGTATTTATATTGGGTGATCATCGAAGATGAAACAAAAATTTCGACCACCACCAGATTTGAACCAGCGACCATCGGGTTTTCCGACCGATGCTATACCAACTGAGCTACGAGGTAGAGCGTCGGCCCATAAACCCGGTGGCCACTGGTTTGAATCCGTCTGTGTTCCAAATTTTCACTTCACCTTCGGTCGCCGCCCAGTACAAATTCTACATTTACCATGAGAATGCGGATTTCAAACGTCTGCCTTACTTTACAGCTTACGTAGTTGTTTTTTGGAAGTGACATCAAGGAATGTGATTACTGTATTCTCCAATGGTGTACAACAGATCCACCTATTCTTAGTTTAAATCCTTCAAATTTTCTAAGCTGTTTCACATAACTGAACAGGGAACCGAAGATTCGAAAAATTGAACAAGGTTTCAATGATGAGTTGAGGAAGTCCCTAATTACAAAACAAATCATTCTATACTACATATCGCCCGCCTGCTAGTAGTTTCAGTCGGAAGTTGACAATGCTTGATAATTTCATCTCAAAAAATCCTTCCCTTCCAAATAACTAATTTATCACTGGTTCACATGCCTAACTCTCTTGAAATGCTCCACTTTCTACAAGAGAAATTCCACTAGTGTAACTTGGAAATCGCAAGTGAAATGTAGTGGCTCTCCTTTCCTTCATGAACAATACAACAAAAATATTTCATATCAATGTCTACCTCATGTTTGCACTTTCCACAAACTATTGATCACAAAACTTCCACCTGCCATATCAAAACGCTTTCTGCTAATAATTGTATATGAATGTCATATGGTAGGCTTCAGTGTGAAGATTCAGATTACGTGAAAGTACTTTCACATTCCAACGTCATTCCCTTCGAGCACAGTGGTGACAACAGAGTGAGTTAAAATCCACCTACCATCTGTCATAACGACCTAACTTATGATGAGCCACCCCCACTATCTGGCTGACTGACTTCCAGTCATCAAATAAACATGCTATTCAACTAATAAAACATCCAAGAATTAAGTTTCACTCCCCAGAAGTTGTGAATACATCAGCTTGTACTGTCTAGTTAAGTGGTGCAAATTAGTAACAACTACCTTGTTCAATAGCTACTGACAACTTCACAATGTCCTCTTCCACCTAACCCTCTCAAGTCTTAACATTATTCAATAATGAATACCTGAAATCAAACAGACATGCATACTCCTTGCGATGTCAAATACCACAACAAACGACTTTTCAGAAACAATACTCCAGGAGATATGACATCACTCAGTTTGCTCTTCATACTGTACACAACTTTCTACTAAACGCATACTTTTAGAAACCGAAGGTTTGAAATTGAGATTACCGTCTCTCAGACAAACATTTGAAGTATTTCTGATACTTACTCAGTACTGAAATGGTCAAACTGTTTGCCAGTCAGACTTTTAGACAAACTGATGAATGACTGGTGTTTTCTAACCACTTAGGATTACTCCGAAATGTACTTGATTGAACAAAGAATATTCTTTCCGATAAGGTATTCTCCACGTCCTACACTCATTTCCACTATATTCAGGAATTATGTACCAATAATATTGAGGTTTCGCTCATCAGTTTCTTCATGATATTATTCACCTGATGAGGTCAGTTCAGAAACGTTCTGTGTGAATAATACTGTTAGAAGTAGTATTCATCATGGATTGACATCGGGTCTCACGTCCACTGGGTCGTTTTCCAGTGGTTCACAATCTCCAACTTCTGACAGAAAATCCTGATTTCGATCCCTAGCCGAGTCGTCAGAGCATACTGCTGACGAGTCCCACACTTGGACGAACAGCTGTCTAGTGCTCCCAGATTTTCAATGGTTCCCCAACTGATGTCAGTCCATGATGAACACCACTTCTAAATTAAAAATCTCTATTCACCTCAAAAACACAATACTGGTAGACTCAATTGTTACTGAAATTCAATTCAAATTAATTGATTCACTAGACAATTATACTTCGTAGGTAATGCTGTAAGGTGACTTTAAGGATCCCTCTTCCAATTGTTCAAATAGTCAAATACATTTCCTTATTTAGTGAAAATCTACTCTCTCTCTCAGGAAGAATATCTAAACCTGACTGGTTATTTCGGCAGTTGATAGGGCAGCCTTTAAAGTCATTCACTCTACTGCCATAAAGTGGTGATAGTTTAATAAAAGAATAGGAAGGTGTTCATGAGAGCTGGATGAAATAAACTAAGGAATATAATTTGAGAGATAGATAATAGCTCAACAGAATGTTACTTATGTTGGGTTGACGAAGTGGATTGACAGAATGTGTTAAAATGATTCCACATTATAGATATGAGGGGGGATGTCTAGAGTATGGAATTAGAAAATTAGATTTTCTGGGGAAGGATGCTAAGGAGTTTGTGCGTTCTGAATCGGGCTACGGTAATTCTAACGGCCACACTTGCTCTTTTTGAACAAACAACTCTGGTTGTTTGATCCTGATTCCTACTGCTTCTACAGTCTTAAAATGTGAATTATCTGATACATATTGTAGGAACACAGTGTAACCTGAACCTTAGTGTAATGGTATTGCATATAATGAGTTCCAAATTCAGCCACCCTGAAACTGATGAACCTGTATGAGTCAAGATGAGTCAGTTATTTAAAGTTGACCATATCTGCAGAAGTGAAATGATCAACAAAGTCATTCTCTAATGAATATTTAGTTTTATGGAAAAAGAATACCTTTTAAGGTGATTGGTATTGCAAAACAAGATATGCTGAGTCGTTAAATGTTCAATGCATCCAATTTTTGAATCTTCGGTGTTTGTTTCTTTGTGCTCTGTTTAGGCCTTCAAAATTGATGATTTTACAATTCAAGAAGACCAAGTCAAAGGTAATGGTCAATTGATTTTTAATCAGTTAATTTAAAAGATCCTCTTTGTATAATCACTTCATTTCTGTTTGTCATGTGATTGATTTTGTGGCGTTTTTTTTGGAAACAGTTAAAATTTGATAACTTTTGCACATTAATCCTAAGTACACTGAACTTGTCAAAGTTGTTTGCATCATAGATGAATAAAATAAGCTTCAATCTTGAAGTGAATACGCTTTCCTGTAGTCCGGAATTTCGAGTAATTTGTGACCTGTACAGTCATTGAATTCGGGAGTGAGGGCAGATGTCTGCCGATGGCATTGGACAGTAGTGACTCTATATCACGAATTATCAGGAGTAGCAAAAGTGTACCGCTAGATTCTGATCCACTAACCGCTTAGCAACATGACCACCGTTTTTGATCTCAGTTTCATTATGGGGTTTTGGGTGAACGTTATCAATGAGTTCAGCGGTAGGACGACACAACTTCGAGCGCTTCTCGATTTCCAATAGTTCTCCAACCGGTGTAAATCCTTAATTAAAACTACTATAATATCAATAAATCCTTACATACCACCAAATGAACTAGTCATGTTAAGCATGCAAAAAGATCAGTCACCAAAATAAGCTTGCCTCTGATAGATTTCTGAACAAATGGCGTCACTCACTGAGGAATTTCAACAAACATAGACACAGCATTTCATAGGATTCACGCTTTGTCACCTATTCGCAATTAGTCCAATTCAGCTGCTTAGTGGTGTCTGAATGTGGTGGAAATGAAAGTATAGATCTGCATATTCCTACTGTCTCTACCGCCAAAAGGTAAACAATACAACCCACATGCCATATACTGGTTTGTAAAATACTTTATGAGGTTTAATGACAGCATGAGTTCAACAGGGTTAGAACGTAGGCTTCAAGAAATAAAACTCGAGAGTCTAAGCCATTGACATGCATCTCCACTGAGTTTGAATTTACTTAACATTCTGCGTGTGGTGTTCTGGAAGCATTTGTCGAGAAGCACTGGACATAATTTATGCATATTCAGTGTGTAAATAAAGCTGTACACTACATTCCTTTGTTTTGTAACTCATTCACCCTGTTCAGTGTGTTCCACTGTACGTGTCAATTGAAACTAGTGTAAAATCCCAGCACTACAATAAAGTAAATAATCTATTTGTGTCTCCTGACTACATCCACTAGTATTAATTCATTTCTAAATGTTCTCTGGAGCATGAAAGTATCATAGGTGCATTCAATGTGAAATTTGCAATTCAGAAGAAACAATCCACCTCAACCTCTCAGTGACTATGATCAAGATACCCTTTCACATAAGTGATATCCCATCCATAAATATTTCTCTTGATACCACATTTATGAGATTCTTCTGTAAAAGTGAGTAAATCAAATGTATGCGATGCTTTATTAAGATTCACTAACATTTATGAAGTAACCGATTCGAAGCGACTGACGGAATAATACAAAATACAAGAAACGCTACTAACCTAGTGAGACACTTGCACTGAATACTAATAACAACTGTTCCCCCTCAATTTTGATACTTCACTGAGCAGCAAAAATGAGAAGACAAACACTGACCTGTAACTGTAAGGAGGATAACTTAATTCGACAAGAATAAACACAACTTATATACAGTTTTTCCTCAGAAAATGAAGCCACTAGGTCAAAAGTTGGATACTTATTTCGATCGGTCACCTGAAGGACAAACTTGTCCAATAAGGTTTTTCCTGCCCACAAAGTAATATGAAACAAGGCTGGAATCCCAAACTTCAACCTTAGAGACTGATAACTCAGAATGCTGACTTTGATCTAAGCCGCTTCTTATCAGTTTACTTCGTGTAGTTCATACGAACAACAAAAAAGTTTTTCAATGTTTTAGTTGGGTAAGTCATGTACAATGGTTACTGTCAGTAGACTCTGAGATTCAGAAAAGAATAAGCACTGGCTGGAAGAAAATCAGAACTTCCAGATTTCCAACATCAACCTCGCAATTCTGTGTGAAAGTCTACCAGGTTCATTGACTCCACGAATAGGCATATTTTAGTCCTTTTTTATGTGAATTAGAAATATCTTACCTTCTAATACTTTGCAGACTTTATAGAAGTGGTATATTGATATAGTAACAGATCGGATATAATTCAAGACCTTAAACTATAGTTTTATTGTAACTTCAACTTCAGAAACATGTGAAAGCAGTTGAATTTCTCACGGTCATTTATTAGGGACAGCTTTATTTGAAATTTGTTGCAGGACTTGGAAGAAGGCGGAATTCAACTAATTCATCCTACAGTTCTCTATTCATTTGAAAAAGTTCCTTGACGTTTAACATGTTCTCCAAGTTACTATCTCCACGACATTAATGTATATAGTAAAATAAAGAGTCCTATGTATTTTATCGAAAGTTCATCATAAATAGCTAAAAAAAATAGCTATAATGTTCTCCTTTCATTTACCTTACCTTTCAGCCGCTAAAGATGTTTTCAAACGCTTCGACAAAAGAGGACAAGAGAAAATAAGCACTACTGATTTGGGTCCAGCTTTTCGTGCGCTCAACCTAACAGTTAAACCGGATACTTTGAAAGAATGGGCTGATCAAGTAGACGATGACGGTAAGAATTTCAAAACTGATTCGATTCCAACGCTCTCTTAATTATCAATATGTTTACTTTATCCATGAGGAAATGAACGTAGATATCCGCCAATTTTCCTCTGAAAAAAGAAACTAATTTACTCTATTGGTATATAAGTTCCATGTGTAGTGAGAGCTACTAATAAGATGTATATGAGTAGTGTATATAGCAGTATCAAAATTGATAACAATTAACCATTGAGGAATTGATCAAAAGGAATACAGAACATCAGACAGAAACATGAAGCTTAAGGACATTGGCAAAGTAGATACCATATACAACGTTGACCATTTTTAACATCACCGACTGTTCAATTGAGATTTTGTAGTGATTGACCGATTTCAATATGGTATTTATCACTCATTAGTGATATTCATCGAGACAGTTTTCCTGAAGTCTTTATGAGAAACCGTGACCTGTGGGGTAAACCAAGTGAGATATGGTAACAAATACGGAACGATAATTCAAGATGACGGCTGCACTATATCGGAAATTGACAGGTGCAGGAGACTGTGGACCACTGGATTCCGACCTAGTAGCAAAATGATAACGTACTCGTTGTGAGACCTGAACACTCTGGATAAGAAAGACTCCCTGGTAGTGTCGTGGGTCTACACTTCTAAAGAGTCCCATTCTAGGACAAAACGGCTATCCAGTGCTCACAGGTGTTCAGTGATTATTTAACTGATGTCGGTCTGCGATGAATACAAACAGGACATTATCGCTCTCATATTCTCAATACACACTAGTTGTTGCTCCACCGGGCTTCTCCTTGATTTTCCTCAAGCCACAACATGATCATCAATTCCTTTTCAACCTTGTCTGGTACATGTTAACAGCGCAATTCTGAAAGTGTATCTCATTAGTTGAATTTATTTCGTTGTTCATTTTCTATAAGAGACTCGAGCCTAATGTCTGTCACCCTAATTATCAATGCCCCAATTCAGTAGAATACTAAATCATGAGCAAAATTTCAAGACAAATTGGTGAAATTTAAGTGAAAACTAATAGCTGGTGGGCAGAAGTGGTTTTCTTAACTCAGTTGTCAAGGTAATTTATGAAGAGATGTATGCTAGGCTTGAATCCCATGAAAATACCAACACTTACCGCAATGCACATCTATACGACAGAACATTTTACGAACAGGATTAAACACCAAACAGACAGTTCACTGACTACCACAGGTGGTTGCATAAATCAAACCAACTGCACAGTCTTCTCACATTTTAGCTCACTTCATACAGGAGTTCGAATGTGAAAAACTCCAATTCAAAGAATCCTTGATTGATTTTTAATTTGTAAAACAGAGATAACTGACGCAAATTAGTTGAAGTGATCAAAAACAGGAAAACAAGGTAACCAGTAGATTTAAGTGGCTGACATCTCAAAAATAAGCGTATATACAAAGTTATTGCATTCTCAGATGAGGTGTTTAACATGGCATTTCACTCAGAACTACTTATGTGGTTTATAATTAGATTTCGATTCAGAATGTGCAAACCAACATATCACTTGTAGCTGAAGAACTTGCCTACAATGTCCGACAGTTACTTCAAGATGTAAGAAAATAAAAGAGAAATGCTATTCCGTTTAAAAATATGTACCTCCTTTGAGAACCAGACTGGCGTAGTGACTTTCTGCAACTCTAAAATGTGCTAACTGTGCTTTATCCATCTGTTCTCAATCATCACTTCTGTATTCAGCATTGTGATTGGTTAATTATTATGCTGGACAGTATATTGATAATATAAGTCGGACCGGTGTTATTTGGCTGGAGGCAAGTGACAGGAAGACATAGACCTAGGATTCGTGATTGTTGGTACTTGTCAGCAAGAGGTATCAGTATCCTCGAGGAAAGTGATGTCTCTTATGAGATGCGACACCTCCCAGCTTAGTGGTCACACTACAGAATTGATCAATTGAAATCACTTAGTATTCATGACTAGATAACACGCAAGTGGTTGCCCTCCAGTGACCAGTCGATGCATTCAATCCAGTCCCCGCCCAATTGGCTCAATAGTAATTTCACTGACAGCCACAATGCAGGATGCGGGTTCAAACCTCAGGGAGTTTATCAATTCTCTTGAATTGGTGGATGCGCCTCACTGACGAATACGACCAGGCACGGATCCCAGTTCCAACAGGCATTCCTCTCAACTCTCCACCCCACTCCAACCAGCTAACATCCATTACAACGGTGACCATTCTAGTTTGGTGATCACACATTGCAGAAATGATTGACAGAACTCGGTCAATAACCACAAATTGACAACATCAAATTGCTTGCCGTCCACTGACCATCAGTGTCTACACTGAACCAATCAAAAGATAATCTGACCTTTTAATGTCTACCAACTAATCGACCATAGTGTCATAACAGTGAGTAGATTACGGCAGCGGCATATGAGGAAGCTTCGTTACCAAACTCTACTTCTAAAAACAACCGGATTCAAAATCAACAAAACACTTCAGTATGTGCATACAAACTACGAATGACATTATTTTTGTAAAGTAACAACTTGACTAGTACACCTGAAACACCGTTGACACCACTTCTCAGGCAATGCAGACAATGTATACTGTACATAGGATGAGGACAGCCAGTCATGAAACAGTGAAACTGAATTACACTTCTTATCATCTAACACAACAGCGACTACATCTTAGTGCTTGATAACACACCACTAATATTAATTGAAAATTAACTGAAAATCCTGTTCAAACAGGCCTCACTGTCGATCACCTCCATCCAACTGCCCCACGATGGTCAGCCTCCTAACCTCATCAGTCATCATATTACAAAATGATTGAAAGAACTCAGTCAGTACTCAAACTAGGCAACTTGACATTGGTTTCTCTACAGTCATCAATAAATGCAACCCAACATTAACTACCAACAATAAGATAAGATTAGAGAACAACGGCATATCAAAAAAAGCTGCTCTCTAAACTCTGGAACCACTAGTTCGACATAAGTTTCACATGCAGTGTGAAATCTCTTCGTGTTTCGAATTCCTTTCTGACGGCGCTTACGAATGAATTGGTTGAACCCCTGATCAAATCGACATCTGAGTAACGGAAATATCCCTAACTATCTCACTTTCCTAACAACTTTAGCCAAATACTCACTTACATATTGAAGAGTCCACATACAACGCAACGCAACAACTACACTACACAACATAACATTGAGAAATCAACGACAAGAGTAGATTATTGATACCAAACTGTCTGTATGTATGGTATTAGTTACTCAAGCAATTAGTGAGTATCAGAATGCAATGGATAAATATCATCTCACAAAACTACTTTAATACCAATCTAGACGACCACTTTCATTCAGGTAGACATGAACTAGAAATGGAATAGCAGATGAGTCTCCACTAACCAGACTCCAGAGAATATGCATCAGTTTGTTTACACAAAATCAACCTGCTATCAGGCATTCATTTACCCTTCCTTCCTTCCGCATCACAAACTACAATCTGTTTATTAGTTCACATACTTGAAAATGGTTGTTTGATCATTTATCTGACCACAATGACATCGTTCTAGGTACCTTATGTTGATGAAGAATGAATGTTCTCATCGATCACTGGGTAGAAAAATGAATGCAACTCTACATATTGCGTGGTGATTGAAGAAGAGATGAAACTGTGAACCATGATTGGAATCAAGCCAGCGACAAACCCACTCCTCTACTAACTCGTCTTTGAGACCTGCTTACCGGTTGGATTTCAATTTCACTTCAGTCATCCACCAGTATAAATAATGCAAGTCTGCCAATCCACACCTATCTCACATAGTCAAACTGATAACTCCAGATCTACTAACTGACTGAAATGCTAATTCACAACAATGTTGAACATCAACTTAGTAACTGAATGTCACAAGCATAGTTACATGAATCAACCACTTAGTGACAACCATGATCATATTTTCGGCCACCATAATGATGTACATCTGTCTCATAATAAATGCAGTACAGTGTGGTGCTGCACTTCGTGCAGACCCCCTGGTGGTAATAGAAAGAAGAGATGATTTATCCCGATCTCTCACCTATTAGCTCGTATCTAGATGATGACTGTAATCTTAGTCTTTGACTCGATGATATGGATTCATATTTTTGAGACAGAAAGTTGCCTCCTAACTTTGTAGTTAACTAACCTCTTCTGATTGGTATCGGAAAGCAATAAGTCTTCCTACCTGATATATCAAAAATCCTCTCTAATCAACTGACATTGATACAAGTGGTTAACTGCATTCCTCTGAAACACTGATTAATCGAACTTTCACTTCCTTTTCTTTACCTTCTCCATTAATCATGATTTCAGCCACTGGATTCATTGATTTCAATGGATTCCTAATCTGTTATGGAAAGAAGTTGCAAGAAGATCAAGACGAAAGAGATTTACGAGATGCCTTTCGAGTGTTGGATAAAAATAAACGTGGTGAGATTGATGTAGAGGATTTACGGTGAGTATTCTTTGTGTAAGACACATTGTCGTTTTGTTTTTATAATTTTACGTGTCTGTGAATTGGTCAATAACAGAGTGTTGATTTTGTCTTCATTCTGACTTATATTTTCAAAGAATTACTTGGTTTTGCATGTTGTGCTAGAAAAGCATTTCCAGTGAACACATTACTTGGAAATTGGTTCTGTTTGATTTGTTTTAAACATCAAAATGTCTTCAAATCGTATTATATACTACCACACAGTTTTAAGGTATTTCTGTGATATGAACATGGACTATAAATTATGCCGGAAATGTTATCTAGTTAAATGATACTGTTTCATTTTGTAACATTTCTAATAAACAGACTGAAATAGAATTACAATCCACTGCATTACCGAAATTCTACTAAATTTGTTGAAATATTGCACAGTAGTATTCATCACGGACTGAAATTAGTGACCATTGAAAACCTGTAGAGATTTGATAGCTGTTTCGTCCCAGTTTGTACCCACAATCCAGCTAAGTATGCTAGCCAGGACTTTGAGGTTCCGCATGAATACATTAACACTGAGCCACCGAGTTGGAATCCAATTGTTCAGATTTTATTGTATCTGACTATTCGTGAAATAGGGCATTTTTTCATCCAATGCTGAAATATTGTATGCTGAGAATTCCATGATGCATGAAACACACTGTCTGGAATGAAGTTATTGTTATTAAAGTGACAAGACTAAAAGAAACTCTGTGTTTTTTTCCTTCGTATGTATGATCATACATCAAATAATATGTTCCTCGAGTTAAGGCCGTACTGGGTTATCAAGAGAACGCATTATGCAGCTGAGTTCATCGTCCTCAAGACAGCAAAAATCATGTTTCAACACAAACCCTCAAACTGAAAAAATGATTATACCACCTGGCACTGTGTATACCAACTTGCATGTGTGGGGCCCCACATATATTATGAAGACGAGTCTGACTATCCAACTGAAGTTAATGGGACAGATCCCTCAATGATGGCTGGAGAAATAACCACTCTGCAGTATCCCTATAAATATGGATGGCAGACAGATGTCATAGTCTCCTCAGAAAAACACTATGAAACGGAAATATACACCACTTCCAAATTACTATATATGAGCTGACACAAAACTATTTTTGAGTTTATGAAAGTACAACTGACCTGCACCCGTGTGTGTCCGTGTCCCTGAGAAACTTCTTCCCACCTTTAACCATCTGTAGTAATCTATATCGCAGTCCAATACCAAGGACGCAGTGAGAATGGCTTATTCTTTTTTCTCCACCTATTATTTGAACATCTATAGCCTTTATACGAATAATCTGACTTTATTTCGTTTTTCCTCTTCATATAAAAAGCAATGAGGAGTAAACGGAGTGACTTTAAAGACCACCCCAACAACAACTGGAATAACTAATCAGGCCTTTTTATCTTATGAAAATCTTCCTTTCCAGCCGAAACTAAGTAGCCTAATTGGCTATTTCGATTGTTGCTAAGGTGGCTTTTAAAGCAGCCCTGAATTACAGGCAGCTGAGGTCGAAATAACTGTTTACACTAGTGATCAAATTTCTGACTGAGCTAACTCTAAAAGTTAGAAGAAATTCAATGTTAGATGGGATGTTTTTGAAAGCTGAGTCTACCAAAAAGATACTCAGCATCACCGTTATTTTCGACAACGTACTATTACAGTCAGACAGTTCTTATTTCTGAGTCAATTAAGACAAGTTTTATTGAAAACAGTCCTGACAGCTGTGAAACTACATCACATACTGACCTTTTGTTTGAACGAAGAGTCTGGAAGAGTTATGAACTTTAAGGTCAGAGGGTATGGATAAATAAGAATAATGTACACACATTTATATAATGTCCACTGCTTTCTGGTTTTTATTCGGTTCAGAAAAAGTGCCTTTAAAAATGATTGTTTAAAGTACAGATCATAAGGTCGGTGAACAGAGAGACAGACAGATCAACGTAAAATCTGGCACAGAAGTATATCAGTTCCAGTTGCACTGTTTGACAACGACACATAAGGCGTAGATGGATAGAAAAGTAATGATAGGGTGAACAAATAGATGAAGTTTAATGAATTTGCTCAAAACTTCTAAGATAAAAAGTGGTGTGTACATCAGCACCATTGTTATCGATTTTCAGCCATGTCACCAAGAGTCTGTAACTAGTGATTCATATCGCCTTAAGTACGGCAATCAAGTAGTTTACATCTCCCAACAGTCAAAAACTTCATGAACTGATGTCATGTCCTAGTGTGATCACTCTTAAACTTCTAGCCCAATCCCACCTCGGCTTACCTTGCATACCAAGGTAGGTGGTGGCCTGCCATGCGCAGCACGTGACTATGTCAACCCAGTCGGTGAAGGAATACAACCTGACCAACTGACCTTCATTTTTTGCTTAAAATCGTTTGTCTAACCTCGGTATTGCTCACACGGTGATTAGATTATATGCAAGCAATACTACAAAGACATCTAGGGTCAAAATAAAATACAACAAAAGCAGTAATGTGTATAAGTTGCGCATAATTGGTACAAGATGCTACTTCAATGCTAATCTGCACTGATCCTAAGTTTAACAGCAGATTAAGAATAATAGTTACCACAACTCCTCAGAAAGCCTAATCAGCTCTGTTGAGATAATTGATAGTGGAATCTCAACACAACCTATTTTATATTTACCATCCGGATACCTATCGAAAATCGTAAATACATTACAGTATTTCACTCAGTTGAACGTAATATTTATTGGACGATCTAAAAATATAATGGCTGAAAGTGTTCTTAGAATAATTTTAATGTGTAACGAAAACAATAAGTGGGTAGTTCTCAAGTTAGACTGGAGTTTTAGACATAAAAAAAAGGTTAATTAATGAACATGTTAATAGACACCGGGTAATGTGAACTTGATGACTATTATGTACACCAAACCACGTGATATCGCAATATGTGATGATACCTGCAGTAACAGTAAGTAAGTGAACGCTACTTACCATCCACTTACAAAACTAATAAGGACTCGTTTGAACCATATGGCGAGAAATCGACATACTGATTTAATCAGTCGAATAGCGGTTACTTAAAATCGGTTACGTATAAATAATTCAACTTACTTTTGTATACAATTAGTGTATCTATTAATTCCAAGTCATGTCATGCTCGGTCTCTGTTCCATTTCTGATATTTTCCATTTTTCACTGGCTAACTCTTCATGCAATTAAAATATTGATATTATTATTCCCATCCATCGGAAAACCACTGGGAAATAAGGACTATCTTATTTCCAGTAACATCTTTCGTTTTTGCATACACATCTAAAGAGATTTCAATTTTTCCCCAATTACAGTCACAAACTGTTAAAACTAGTAACTAAAGTAATTTCATGAAATTCGTTGATGAAAGAAATCTTAGGTTTAATTGACTTAGCCACTATATTATTTTAGTGATATACTTTAATCTACTTATAAGTAGTATTACTGTTTAAAGCTGCATTACTGTAACTTCATTGGATTTTAGATGGATTCTGAAAGGTCTTGGAGATGATCTTACCGAAGAAGAAATTGACGATATGATCAGAGATACCGATACTGACGGATCTGGGTTCGTCGATTTCGATGGTGAGTCCTGACTCCGTATAAAGATTCACGTGTTTCTGCATATATGGTAAACAGGATTACTAGTTCTAAGAAAATAATGAGTGGATGTATTACTTTTGACTCGGAGAATTCAAACTGTATTTGCGCTACACATAGGAATATCCAATAAACTCAGAAAATGTCACTTAAAAAAGTAACACGGGTGTCCACTATCGTGTTTTTCCTGTAACAGAACAGCAGCCATCAACTTCACAGTGACATACTTTAGGAATAATTATTCAGGTATACGCTAATCTTATCCAGTAACCATTGCCGAAAACTAGAGGATAATGATGTGAAATTGCAACATTTCGTTCCGTACACCAATTCACATAATATGAATATTATTAACCAGTTTACTGAAGTCGCCTTACTAGTTGAGAATTGACAGTGGTCTAACTTCTCGAAGTTGTATTTCTACAATAGTGATTATGATTTCTGCTTAAAAAGATCTATGAAACGAAAGATGTTGAAGGTTGAAGTAGCATCTGAAACCAAAATGGTTGGTTTTTTTCCTAAAGAAAAGAAATGGTTAACCGGTAGGCAGTGTAACTAACCCGGTACTAACACCCTGCTTATTAGTAGGCTTTCCCAAGAGGAGCCACTTTCATCAATGTTTTTTCTAACTTCATTAGACGTAGATTACAGAAAACTCCAAACCATCTGTGTGTTATCTCCTAAACCCTACAGGTCAGTAGTGCTGGAGGTTAGTAACAATTCTACCAGCAACTGTCAAACTGTACACATGTCGATATTCCAACGATCTGAGTAGTTTACAACAAGTAACTGCAAACCATCTAAATATCCTGATGGAAATGGTCCACTACAGTGCACATATGATGACCTCTGTTACTCGCGAACACCTTAGTGTAGTGAAAAAACATAGTACTAATGAAGAAACAGAAGCAACTCGACCAGAGAATGTTTTCTACGAACAATTGAACTGGTACTGGTTACATATAGCACTTCTTGCAATAACGCAACCATTTGCAAATGTCTTCGTTTCCTCTCCGTTCCTGTCTTGATTTGCTCTTGACCGACTCTTCATACACTCTTATCAGCAGCATCCTCTGTAATACGCCTGTGTTGTCCCCTGCGTTGCTCTTGGCAGAAACCTTACCCATTGCCGGTAATTCTCTACCCTCTCGATATATACTACTTATATCCGTTGTTATCAACAACGCCCACTACACTAAGTGTTGCTGTGTGATGAAACTTGAATACGAACTATGCCATTTTAGAGATAACTCTCACTTCAAAGTAGATACTCATGAAATTCTAACCACTACACTGACAAAAGTACGTATTAAAGCACTTTCAAAGCATCCACTGGCCAAAAGCTTCACACTCTATTGTCTCCTTCTCAGGGTGATCATTCTGTTTTTACCATCATGATAGAATTGATCTAATTCACTAACTAAACGTCGATCAAATACAGTTGGATCAAGGTAACGTACTCAGTTTGAAATCCTGTTTAAACTAAAACAGTTCACCATCAAACAGGTCAATGTAAAGTTAGCCCCGATGCTGTCTATGAACAAAACGAAAGCTTCACGATTAAACCACCCAATTTAGAGAATGTAACATAGCCGAAATCATCCACCGGAGCTACAAATACTCTCATTCGTTTGCGTTAACATACTAGTTGATTACTAAATGACAGAGATTAGGACTATTAGACAGACAGACAAAGTCAACCTAGAACCTCGTACATAAGTTCATTCGTTCAGGTTGGTACACTTCACAGGTGGATAGGAAAGATTGATGTCAAAACAGACAAGATGCATGGAAAGAGAACGAATTTGAAAATGAAGGTAGGTCAAAAACTTTAGGAGTGAATATATCTTCAACATTTTTACCGGTCTTCAGCCATGTCACTAAGAGTCCTCAACCAATTCATACACTGATGCTACATCTTAATTTGGTCAACCTATTCCAACTTCCCCCAGCATTGTTCATCGAGGTAGACACATCTGTTATAACTTTCTCAGAATCCTTAAAACTCCATCAACCAAAGAGTTCAAAGTGTTTTTTTCATTTGAAATGTCAGAAAACTGAAAATTCCTTGCTTGATAAGTAGTGACATAATTGAAGACTTAGTCTGTGCTGATAGTGTTTTCTAGCGTAGTAACTAGATCCTTATCTTTCTTTGGTTAAACTATAGAATCTAATGAGTGCAATACTGTTAAGACAGCTCTACTAAGCATCGATTCTCTTCCATTAAACAAACACGAAATTATCTCCCTTATTAATTAAATACAATAGCTTTATCCTACTAATTGATGTAACAACATATTTTCCAATCTTTCATCAAGATTTTTTTTTAATTTTAGAATTCTACAAACTCATGACATCTGAATGAATCCTCAACTTCTGGAATCATCAAAACAACGAAACAAAAAAACGCTTTTTCCAACTTTCCTTTTGTAATATACCAAAATGTAATGCTTCACCGATCACACTACAAGCACCAACACTGATTCTCCTATTGGACAATCTTAGTTTTATTTAAATCGATTATTCAAGTGACTGCTTCGTAACGCTAAATATATCCTACCTTAGTAATCAATGATGTAGTTATTTATAATCTAAATATACTAAACAACTGTATTTTATCACTTAATCTTCAGTAATTTCTATTTGGTTGAAGATGTGATCCTTTTAATGCTTGACTATAGTCCTGACAAGTTATCCGACTGCTAATTAAGTGTTGAGTGTACTACTGTGAAATATAGTTACTAAATGTGGGGGATATGAAAAGGCTGCATGTGCCTGAAAACCGTTGACTTGGTAGAAGTGACCATCTGTCGGGAAACTACTATGTGAACAATATTCAAGTTAAGAGTCAGTTTACGAAATCGTTGATCGTCATTAGCCGGGAAGAGGGAGACAAGTGTTACCCACCACTAGTTACCGTCTACCCCGATACACTATGTTAACTGGTGTACGATAAGTTTGATTAAAGGTTAAATTTGGTCGTACTAAGACAAAATCTCTAATGTTTTATCTTTTCAGTATAAGGAACTACAGACTTCCAGGTTGAAGTTTGTGTAACAGCCGAAATTGCTAATTGTAAACTCTACACGACAGTTTTCAAGATTAATCACAGTACCTCAGATGTATCCACATTTTATCTTTTCCTAACCAACATACCACAATTCATTACTTACTTTACTCTATCTTCTCTTCATCTTATGACTTTCAACAAGTGTGGATCATATTATTTATATCTATTTATCTTTCCTGTTGTTGCCTTCATGTACTAATGTGAGTTGTGGTAACTTGGACCGTTACTCAGTAGTGTCGGTTCCTACGTTGACACTGTATAACTGACTCACAGAAGCACCATAACTGTCTAGTATCTCAGTGCTAACTTAGATTCCAGAATAAGTAGTAGATAAGGCATTGTTCTGTTTGTAATACCAGTCGACAAGACTCTCATCGATCGGTCATTAGAGGGTAACTAAGATTATTTTATCTCATCCTCTGTGATGACTGAATTCTACTGATCGTTTCACAATGGGATCATCAAAATGATCGACGAAATTCACTAGACGCTAGATAACATTAAATTGACCAACCTCCAGTGACTAATTAGTGCATATGATTCAGTCCTACGGGTGAATCGCAGACCGAATACCTCAGTGCCTAGGTCTATGACTCTGGCACTGTTTTATTCAAGTTCAGATCTCAAAGAGGATATCGGTTTCCTTGAGCTGGCAGAGCTTATCAAAGGGTCCCAACAAGCGCGAAACCCAGGTTAAGTATGGCTTCCTGACAAGTGCTTCCAAATGCTAAAACAGTCTCATTTCTTCTAAAAAATTAGTGGGATGACCTAAATCCCGTCTGCTTACTTCAGTGGGTACATAATTACTTTGTATCAAAGACTAAATAATATACTATTCTGTGCATTAATGACTGATTCTCCCACATTTCAGTTATATACTTTTTTCAGGCTGCGAACTACACATGTTGCTGAAAAACGAATAACAGTAGTCAGTTTCTCAAACCGAAAGAAACGAGCTAAGAGATATCCAAGCCTGTAACTCTATGGTTTTCAGTCGTGACTTTCGATTACAAAATCTTGATCACATTGTATTCACGGAACGTTGCATTCAAAGCAGTTGAACAATGTTTATCAAAGGGCATTGAAGAGAAATTCGCAACTTCACTTTACCTTCCCGTTCGCTTTTAACACCTTGAAAGGAAACTTCTCTGTAATCGATTTCACTGTGCAGTATGTTTATTACTATATCCCACAGATTATTACATTTTGAACAAAGTGTATGAGATCAACTTAGCTCAATTCAATTTCACGTTATTTCGGCTACATACCTTAAACTCACCACCGACTGAAAGGTAATAAAATCTTAAGCCGATCTTACATTGAATCATGTTGCGACCACAATTTCAGTAAGCAGGAATACTATAATGATAACGAACTAACTTGTATCACAAAACTTATTGATGCAACTCGACTGTTTGCTTAGGACGTATTCTTCATCACTCACCATGACTATGCCCAAGGCCTAACAGGCGAAAAGATCAAAAGAACAAGCTGCTAACCAACTGATTGTATTTATATGTATCCAATACTGATACAGATCCTTTATTAGAATATACTGTCACAAATGCTTCAGTTGTGGGTAGGACGACATAACCATGAAACATAAGTCAGCCAGTAAACAGCCTACCAAAGATAACAGGAAGGTCAGGCAGCAACCAACAGAATAATGCCAATAGCTATAAGGCTATTAATTCGTCCATCATGATCGAATCATTTCGTCATAGTAAGTATATAGACCTAAAGGCTTTCATTAAGTAATCATCAAGCTGAATGAGGCCGATCATAAATCTATGCAAACACAAAAGAAAACAATTAATTAGCTATTAAAGGTGATATTCAACGGGACGGAAATCAAATTAGTTTTCAGGTAGATACTCAGAAATCAATCACACCATTTCATGAATACACCCAAAAGACCAACCACATTGAACATTGAATTTCAACCATTACCTTTGCACCAATGGATAACCATACGTGAGGCTGTTCATCAAACATCCATCCAGTTCACTCAAACACTTTATGAGCAAAGAGAATTGTATTTGTTAAGTATCTTCTGAATATTTAGATTAACGTTATAACAGTAAATAAACTGCTCGTCTATGTTTACAACATTCGCAAATCTAAGTGCAACCGTTATTTATCATGTAATTATACTTTCTATGCTTCTCATTGTCTGAACATACCTACACTTGCCTGATACTTACCTACACTTTCGAATCGCTGAAAAGACCGAAAATCGTGGTGGTGAGTCAACCAGGCCGGTGACCACATTCAAAAATGATCAATACAATTCGGTGAGCATTCAAGCACTAAACAACATGAAGTTGGTCACCCTCCAGTGACCAGTCAAGGTGTCTAATTAAATCCTGCAGGAGGTCAGTGGAAGCCCGAATAGCTCAATGATAACGTCTCGGACTGCAGTACTGAGTGACGCAGGTTTGGATCTTCGGCGAGACATGTTTTACATACGCCTTACTGATGAGTCCTAACAGGTACGAAACCTAAGTTGAGAGCTTCCAGTAGACTATCTCCATCCCCCTAACAAATTCGTAACTTTATCGCTCACGACAAAATTTAGTAAACCATAAGTACATGATAAAGGCTTTTAGGCTGTAAAACTGGAGACATGGCTTACAGCTGAATGTCTGTTACTTTTCACTAATAAAGTATGAAACAATAAATGACAGGTCGGGAGAAGGGTTCAAAAAACATTTACAAAATAGTACTAATAAATAAATTATGTTGCGTTAATTTATAATTAAAAATTGGCCTATATATGTATGAATAAATTTGACTTCTTCCTATGTTTATCCTGTTGTAATAGTCAGAAGCATAAAAATTCTCTGCATGACGTACTGAAATATAACTTTTACAAACAGCAGCCACAAAGCATTTCTCCATTAGATCATTTGTCGGGATTCCATTGATTTAACAGTAGATGTCATTGACATCATTTAGAAAACTATTCAAAGCCTCAGTGCACCGGAGAGCTGTTTCGTCCTGTACTGGTGGACATCAGCGGTGCACACCCGTCGCTTCAGTGGAGCCCGTGAGACAAATACAGAAACAAGAACGAATGTGAATGCATTCCTTGTTAAGACAAGGGTACAAGGAAGGGGAAGTTCAATATATTGTGTTAGTGTTCAAAGTATTTCACTAAAACTGACATCTGTGCTGCTTGTAAATGATAAGTCGGATGGCATAAACTCACCAGAAACGTTTCTCTTGATAAAAATGTCTAAAGAATTACTACAAGTATGCCAATCCAATAAAACTCAGTTTAGTTGTTTTTGAATAAAATACAACATTGGTAATGGGTGATGACCAAAGATAAAATGAAAACCTAGAGGCCGGTATAATTCGAGTCAGCTGCTTACGGGTTATGAACCCAGTGCTCTATCGACTGAGCTACGAGACCCAGTTGTCGACCCGGATTCGACTTGACTTCAGCCATCCGTGGTCCGAATCCTCCCGCGACTTAGATTTTTATCCCACTTTCAATCACCATTATCATTTATATCAGTCTGTTTAACCAAGACTCTGTCAGTTAGTCCCATTGGAAAATGGCATGTTTGTAGAATTAAGTTCTCAGGAAGGTGTCATCGACAACTTGATTATTTTTATCGAACAAAACTAATAACTGCTAGCAGGAGGTATAATGAATGTTAGTAAAATGGGGAAATAAGTTGGCTTGGCTCCAGTGGATTTTATTCCAGGAATCAAAGATCCTCTGCCAATAGATATACATACTTATGGTAACTTTGCCTAACATTTTTATTGGCTGTCTTTCCATCCGCCAATCACTTCTTTGTGTGACCAATCGGATGTAATAAATGCTCAACTGTAAATTATGTTACTAATTTTCCAGTTTGAGTAGTTTCCTATCTGTTGCTGCCTAGTTTATTAATATGCATTTTGTAAATAAGGCAGCTTCCGAAGAAGTTGGTAGTATCTCTTCTCATATTCAGCCGTAGGATTCAGTGGCAAATGCCGTAGTAATTCATACTCTGTACCTGGATCCGTGCATGTACAAGCAGTTGGTTAAGTCTTCCCTATCATGTTTCGTTTAACCAGGGTCATGTACAAAGCGTTAAATCCAACCATTATCGTTGTTATTATTGTTGTTTTTCGATTTACTTTAAAGACCAATCTGGCAACTCCCGAAATAACTAATCAGATTTAGATGTTTCTTCTGGGATATTATTTTATCATAAAATAGAGGACCGGTATTAGCTAATTTATCAGTAGTAGGGGTGATCTTTAGATTCAATCTTGTTTTTCGGGCATCTTTAAGAGCCAACCTAGCGAAAATCGAAATAACCAATTAGGCTTATTCATTTCGGCTGGAAAGGTGGGTTTTCATAAGATAAAGAAGTCTGGATGGTTGTTCCAGTTTTCACTAGGGTAACCTTTAAAGTCACCCTTGTTTTTCACTTTTACTCCATGATTAACGGGCGATTGACTTTAAAGGCCACTCTAATAACTGCTGAGATAGCCGATTACATTGCCTTATTTTTATGGAAAAGTACTTTTCCAGGCGAAACACCTAA